CCATTCCATGATTCTATAAATGCCACCCTCTTCAGATGCCATGAGAGCAGAATTCAAAGAAGAATGACTTGGTCTCAACAAAAAAATCTGCCTAGTCTGCTCCTCATTTACAAGGTGTAAATTGTTATGACTTAGGTGATTCTGAATCGATTTTCTTATACTGATCTCACTGAGGCAGCTAATGTGATAAATTACACCTCACATCAGTGATCCCCAGAGAAAGACAGCACAACGCTAATCATACGTTGGACCACGGGACAGGAAGGTGGGAGCCAGACATTGCTAGGGTAGGATGCTAACAGGTGTGAACAGTGCAAGCTGTAGCCAAAGCGTCTTGGCTCAACAGCCAAATTACCTAGTGACACAGCATTTTTCACCATCTCACTATGCAAAATAGTATGAATTTCTCTTACATGAATTAATCCTACAGCTTGGTGGTACTAACTGTTTTTAGCCTGGAGTTAAAAAAAGATATATTCAGAATGTGATAGATTCAGTATTTCATCTCTACTACTCAGTTTCAAGTCTGAACACTAGAATCCTTAAGTTGGCATTTAATGCTCATCTGGTTCTCTCAGAGCACACTATACCTTTTGTCAAAATTAATACTAGCACTTGTGGCAGTACCAAAACTGTTAAAAACTCCCAAACCACAAAGGGATGCACTAGTATTGCTGTGTATGCCTTCAGAATGGAGTGCTGGAGCCACCACATCTTTACAGACAGAGCTCTGGAGGTAAGAAAGGTCTAGATAGGCAGGAGGACACCAAAGCCCTCCCACATCTCTGCCACAGCCTGTATCCAAAATCCCAGTCTTCAAACCTTCCATACCCTGAACAAGTGCCGCCTTTGTGGATTAAATTTTGGAATGGGAGACATGGTTTTGGCTTTTAGCAGCACCACTGAAAGCGCGGTGGCAGCAGCACAGCTCAAGAATGTTTTTTTCCCATCCAATGAGCCTTACATCTTGTAAGGTTTAATGTGTGATTCCAGCCTATTTCAGCTGCACTGACCTTGGGGATGCTTTGTATTCTCCTGCTGTATAACCTCCCGTTCATTAAATCATTTAATGTTTGCCGTGACCAATGCTAAAGATCTCACAGCCTTTTATCAGCTCTAATGACTGTCTGAGATTCTTTATTTATGGTGGAAATGTACTTCAAATGAGATTAGAGTTCATGCCACTCATTGTCAACAGAATTTCTGGCTACTAGATTGCACTGACAAGTCCAATTGGACATCTATGAGATCATTAGAAGCTACAGGAGTTTTGCTTAGAAAATGTGCAAATACAGCCAAACAAATACAGTCAGTGTTTGGCACCAATTCCAATAACAGTAACTGTGTTATGACCACCTTTTATGCTGAAATCAGTCTGGTTAGAAATGCCAGCAAAATATTTCAACGCATAATAAGAATTAAAACATAATAAAAAAACTGATTAAGAAAACAGCTAGAAGTTACTTGAATGATTGAAAATATCAGTATACTATCCTCTGTGGTCAAACTATCATTAATAAAAAAAGCCTTCAACTTCTAATTAAGAAAAGGTTTTCAGGACACAGCTGCCACTCAATTAGAGAACACAGGATTTAATGATCAGATTAGACTAACCGACCTCTGTTTTACTGCTCCTATGAGACTGCAAAGAGAATCAGGCTCTCAGAAACAGGATTTTTTGAAATGAGTAAGAAATAGAGAGGTTGGAAAGACAAGGCAAAGATCTGAACACCTGGGTAATCGCACTGTCCTAAGGCTTTTACCAAAACTGTAAACATAATTTTGCAAACGCAGAAAGAGTGAAAAAAAACAGATTGTGCAAACTGGTATCAAAATTTTAGTGGAAGCACGTACAAACGTCTCATTATGGAAATAAACCATTGTCAATATCAATTCAACATGGTATGATCAAAACTATGCTAAAGGAAAAAAACATTCCTTTTTGTCTGTATCAGTCCAGGAAAAGAGAGTCCATGCACGTTGTCCAAGAACTCCATCAGATTCTAACAGAAACACATTCTGAAAGGACCACGTCCTGCCAGGCAGCGTTCCCCTCCCTGCAGTGGACATTAATAAGACTAGCTGCTAAACAAGCTGCATGACACTGGAATTCACTGTTGAATCACTTCGTGCAAACGCAACTGTTTGTAGGAGGCTGCCAACAAACCACACAAATGGGAAGAGCTGATTAAAAGGGATGCAGCGTTGAAAAGTTGATCTAACTAGCTGCGTACAAATAGCTTACGCAATGACTTGTAACACTTGTTTCTGCCAGAATAAAGTCTTAGAGAATCACAGAATATCTCAAGTTGAAAGGGACTCATAAGGATCATTCTGATTTCTGTGCTTTTACATGCAATGCAAGTAACGCGTGCTGCCGGCATGGGGGGCACTCATGGCACAGGGGGCACTCATGGCACGGGGTGCTGGGCACCTGGGCAGGCTACTGGAGGAGCCTGCAGCAGTTAAGGCAGCATGGGGATAGGGTGGCCAGCAGCCAGCAGAGGACTAGGACCTGCCTTTGCTACCCTAACTCCCAGCCTAGGGGTCTTCTCCGACTTGACCACTCTCCCATGTTTGTAACAGCTTCAAACTTTGTATGTAAACCGAGGACAAAGGATGGGAGAAATGGCAGAGGAAGTAGAGAAAAAAAAATGATCAGAGAACACAAAGGCAGTGAAATGAGAGGATAGTATAAGATATAAGGAAACAGAATTTCCGTTTCAGGAAAAAACAAACCCAGAGGTATTTACTTACTGTCCTACTGCAGTACACAGAGGCAGACTGTTATAAAATATACCATAGGCGTTGTAGATATCGGACAGTAGTAACGTATTCTTATTTACTCAGCTCAGTGACAAGAAATCAAATAAAAATATGCATTTCAAGCATCAAAAACTATCTAAACAGCTCATCTTTAAACGAAAGCTAATTATGACAACCCCAAAAAAAGTGTCCAAAATGTCAAGGACCTTCACCTCTGATGTACTAAAAAGTTACAGTGATTGTCATGTAGTCATTTTTACATATTATATACAGTGTATAACATTTTCTGTTAACACTGTGCTAAAAGGACATTATTTAGTCTGGAGAATGTGAATACCCATCCCAGAAGTTCATTTTACTCAGCCCACTGAGCTTCGCTGATGGGTTTGGGGATGCCTGCCCCCATGGGCTACCAGTTATGGTTTGACTTCACTAGAATGAAGGAAGGTGTCATACTTAAAGTAAAATATATCATTGGGCCCAACCAGATCAGATGGAAACCTGAAGGAACAGAATCCACAACTTTTAAGTTTAATGAACACTTTTGCTCATTCTAACCACCTCCTCTCCTATATCAAGGGAGCAGCAGCTACAGAGCGCTGCAGCTCTTTAACTCCCAGTGTGGAAGCAAACAGAAATGCCAAAAATAAGCCTCAGGTACAGTCTGTGTCGACAAAACGCAGTTGTCACCCACTATTACCAGCCCTTTGCTTTAGCAGCTTATCTACTGAAGTTCTGGATCTCTGTCACGGTCGCCTTTCCCTGGCATGCATAGCTGCCAAGACTAAACCTGCTCAGAGTAAGTATGGGGATGACAGAAGCACCATCCAGTTAGAAAACATGGCTTCAGAAGACAAGCTTTCTTCAGGGGATTGTCTTCTACAGTTAGAATAAGGCCTAGAAGATTTCAGCTTTCTGTACATACTCACCAGATCCTTTTCTGTCTTTTTATTGGCTAAAGCATCAACTTTGGAGTCGAGCTCACCTTGAATTTGGTCTCTCCTTTTCAAAACACCCTGAATATAGAAGAAAAAAAACCCCAAGTAAACCACACCAAATTTTAGCCATCTATTCAGAAAACCATCAAAAAAACTGGTTATTTAATAAATTAAGCAAGATCATAGAATGATGCCATTTAATAATTTTGACAAGATACATATCCTTTCCTCAAAAAATCTTAAAATCATGCAGTGAAGACTTTATTTTTCAATACCTGCATTTTATCTCACGTGTTTTTTAAGAATCTTGGCAAATCCAAATTCAGTGCCATACACATTATCATTGTTACCTGTATGACAAAAACTGCAACAGCAGTTTACTTAGTATCAGCTCAACTTGTTATATATTTGTATTCTAAAACAACAACACGTTTGCCAAATCTGCTGAACAAAAGTATCTCAGAGTAAAAGTTACAATATAAAGTAAATTACTAAATATTATATACAAGGCACTATTGAAATTGTTACTTTAACCTTCAATATTATTTTGTAAGTGCCAAATATAGTTCAGTAAAGTCAGATAAAATTATCATTAAAATGTTAGGTGCTGTAACACTGATATATGTGGTTATTTTCAGCATTATGTAATGATTTTCTTCTTTAAAACTGACTTACCAGGTATTGGATTTTTAGCATAATTTCAAAAAATAATTAGAAAGGGGAAGGAATGTTACTTGTCAAACTACAAAACAGGAACAGTATTACAGAATAAATTTCCAGTTCTGATGCTCGTTTGCTCTGTGACCTTAAGAAAGCCTTACAGATTTCCCTTTTAGCTTCCTCATCTGTAGAAGCCCACTCAGGTGTGCTTATCTCACAGGAACATTGCAAGGTTTTAATGCTTTAAAAAAAAAAAATCAGAAGCAGGACATACATGATTAAAAATCTCATCTCAAATCTCCCTTCTTTTACATTATTTTGCCACAACAGGCTTTATGGCTTCTTCTGCATATACTAAAGAGATTTTCAGTACTGGCCTCTAGCACAGGGCATGTTGAAACAGCACAGGCCTCTAGCAGGTCTACATTATCTAGCTGTCTTATTTGACTGCATTATCTTTGAAATCTTGTCACTTTAAAAAACACAACAGAATAATTTAGGAGGTTGATTTTCAAATAATTTTTCAACACTTGTTTTTGAAGAGATACTCACTAGAAAAATCTGGTAAACATGACTTTGGATAATTCTCAGTAATAAATTAGCAAAACATACTAATGCACTGTCAAGGTGAGGAATGGCATTGGTTGTACTAGAAGTCAGTTGAGAATGAGAGTGAAAGAATTCATCCTCTGCCAGCCCTGAACCTTATCACGGTCTGGGTGGATCAGTACCAGCTGGGAATTCCAGTGACCACCTGCCCCAATTAAGGCCAGGATGTAAAATTACTTATGCCTGAAGTCAATTATCTCATGACCCTATAAACAGTGGTTCCAAGGATCATCCCTTTGAGTTCCCCTGGATGGTAGTGCACTGTATCCAGTATCTCCCTCTGAGTATGATACTTCTCAGAGTTCACAAACTCTACAGTTTGTGAAATCAGGAAATAGTTGATACAACCTGGGCTGAAAAACCTCCTTGAGGCTCAACTCTTCACCCACTGAGAGAGGCACTGACATCCCATGTGAATATTTTCACCGAACTCAAGGGGAAATTGTAACAGGTACCTTCATACAAATCCATGTATATGCCCCTCTCTGTTTCTGTACCTGTCTGTGTGTGTGCATGCAGCTTCATGTCGATAACTTTGTTAAGTCTTTGATTAAGTCACTGCACTGATTTATTGGCAGTTAAGTCCTGCTAGGGAATTATATGATCTAATTGTGTGATATATCTGAATAGTGTTAAGGAACTCTGAATTATTGCTGCCCCACATCGAAACAATCCAAAGTTTTGTACCAAGCACAAATTCCACACACTGTGATCCTTTCCATAATACCTTAGGCGTACACCATTGACTGGGATTGTCTGGGACTAGGGGTGGATTCAGCTGAACCCAGGCTTCTCTTCTGAGGAGTTCAGAAAGCAAAGGGGGTTCACTCTGAACCTTGTGACTGAATGATAGGAATTTCCTTGCCCCTTTTCCCTAGTTCATATCACAACAATCCAATATTGCCTTGATTTCCCTGACTCTGTAAATAACTTCTAATTCATGTATAAACCATTTTAATCTCTTGCTAATTTTATTTCACCTCTGTATGCTTTTCCATGTTGAATAAGTAGTAGAGTAGACCTTGCCATTGAATTCTGTTGTCACACTTCTCACAAATTCATATTAAGAATAATAGCTTTTCCCCTAATATATGTGATGCTGATCTTTTAAGCAGCATAAACCCCTCAGCGTAGCCTCAGTTTTATGATATCTGGACAAAAAAGAACACTGGAGAAAGGGTGAACCAGGCTGCAAGCTAGAAAGCAATGGGCAGGCAGTGTCTCTTCAATAGCATGAAGGCTGGGATGGCTCATTAACAGAAATTCTGAAAAATACATTTGGAAATAGGGGGAGAGGAAGAAGACCTGCAATTGCTAATGGTGATCTCTCAAACCTTTAAGCAAAGGTTTAAAAACATGTCAGTGATGAGGCCTGTAAGACTCTCAGGCCCCTCTTTCAGTGAAGCTGGTTTAAAAGACAGCAGTCACTGCAGCAGTGACTTGTAACCTCTCAGTAGCTAAAGCCTCACTGAAAACTGCTGCGCTCTGCACAGTGCCAGCAAAGGCTGAGTTAACTTGGGTCTTGCTCTACCCATGTCCCGTAACATGCTCTCAGCCCCTACACAGAGACCACAGCAGCAGGAGCTGGGTTCCCAGCAGAACAGATACTGCAGCTTACATTGCCCAAAACGTAGACAAAGAAGGGTTTGTACATGTTTTCTGCTTTCTGGAGGCAGTAGAGTGGGAATTATGAAAGGCTGAATTCAATTAATTATGTTGTTTATCCATCAGCACTGAATTTAACAATTCTGAAGTCTAATTTTTACATTCTTTCCAAGTGTAAGAAAAATATGTACATAAAGGGAACTGAGAGCCTTAAGGCAAAGACTAACGCGTGCTTATATAATGGCACAGGGACTGGAAGTTCTCTGCTGTTCTGGAGAAAGAAACAACTTAGGAACGTCTCGTAGAAAGGGAAAAGCCTCCCAACTCCTTTTCCCCCACACAATCTGTTACTCGAGGAGTTCGTATTTCAGCAGTGTCAGAGGAGGTCTTTCTCAGCTGCAGTCCCCCAAACCTTTCTTCTGTGTTCCCGCCTCTCCGCTACAATGCGGAGCTCTCTGAAGATGGCAAACCCAGACACTTTAGCCCAGCTACCAAGGGCTGTCTGCCACGGAAAGCTACCAAGCACTTCTCCTCTAGAAGGGGTGCTTTCTGCCTGATTAACAAGGGAAACAGGACAAACTGGATTCCCTGCTAACAAACAGTTATCCTATGCTGTGCACATTTAGAACCAACAGTAAATAGAGGGACTGCAAAATCATTTTCATCAGTTACAAACTCTCCTCTAGTATTTGTCACTAGACTAAGCCAAACTTTACATACAGCCATCAGCAATCCTTAAGGAAACCTTACCATCAGAATTTCACTGTAGAGAATGTATTCATGTAAAATCGGCAGGAGGTTTTCAGAGAGTCCTGCCATCCGCTTCTCCGTAGCCTTGCAACACTTGTCAATGCAGCTGGCGACACCTTTTAGGGAGTCTGCTATATCTTCTTCCGATGCTGACCAGAGTGTATGGATGGGGCCGTATTCCTTCATTTCATTAAAATACTCTTAACAGGAACATACACATGTATTAGTCTTTGTTCATTAAGAGATGTCTAAGTGATACTAATTGCAGCCTCATATTTATTAGGAACAAAGCAAGAGACTGAGGCTAATGTTTAAATTTGCTCAAATGACCAAGATAAGTAAACTGCAGGTCATTGTTTATGGATAAACTAATCAATGCATGTATTGTAATTATTAGTTCATAGAAACCTATCAGCAAAAATGCCCCAGTGTTTTTAAAAGGAGACACACTCTTAGACCTGATGGGCTGTATTCATTTCACCCAGTGATCTGCATTACTTCACACTGTCTTCAGTCGTCATACAGAGGGACGTGAGCCATAGAAGCCCCAGGCAGCGGTTGGTCTGACTTAATTCAGTGTTGTACCCTACAGCTTCTGGGAGCAGTCAATTCATAAGGTCTTCCAGGAAGTATTCTGGCACTGGTGACTTGAACCTACAGACCTCAGCCAGCTATTTCCACTGAAATGAACGATTCCAAAAGGAAATCTTTTCACCAACATGTATTTTCCTTTAATTTGACCCCTCCAATTTAGTACATGCTGAGATCTGGTACCGCACAATAAAGCACAAGGACTCAGTTATTAAAGAACACAGTGCAGTGCAAATTTGCCACAGGGGTTTTTTTGCAAATTTTGCAGTGCAAATGTATCATATTATATAGACAGTAACCTCCCTCAAGTGCTGACCAGTGGGAATTCTACTGACCAGGCCAATCCGAGATCAGGGTCAATCTCAGGAAGTCAGTAATTTAGCATTCCAAGTAGTTGTTAAACTGCTATTACTTAAGGAAAAAAATTGAGATTAAGTCATCCTTCTTAAGAACTCTAACAGGCACAGTTTCCCATGACAGAAATCATGGCCAACAGTAAAGCTATTTAAAAAAAAAAAAAAAAATCTACTTGGTTAACACAGAAAAAGGTGCAGAATGAAACCAAAAAAGACATCTGGAACCTAGACAGCATTATGCCAGTATGAGACAGCACAGAAAACTGACTATTTAAATGCCACTGAAAGTACAAAACAAAAGGTCATGAGGCTTTCTAGAAAGCTCAAATAGCAAGTTAGCCATACTTGCTACGTTTCCTTCTTCCTTATCAAGCAGTTCAATAACTTGTTAATAGGAAGAGTTTTAACATGTCATTCAAATGAACTTGAAGGTCTGCCAAAACACTGACCGCTACGAAAAGCACAGTATAAACACAAACCTCTTCTCACCTGTTTGCCAGTAAGAGTATTTTGCCTGGCACAATGAAAACTAATTGACTCTTCCAATATATTGATTCCTTAAATCTATAAAACTGATTCTTGTTTTCTACTTACCCCTTTCTTCCTTGTAAGTTCTATGAGCTATTTTGTCTAGCACGTTTATTTTCTGACTAAATGTTTCCATGTAATCGTTCATTTCTGTAAACATTTCAGGACGATTTTTAACTCCTCCTCTTACTGAGGATGCTACAGCTCTGACGGTCTGTCCCATCCTGCTCAGCAAACCAGGACCCTGCTTCTTGTGTGAAGAGAGTTCCTATAGACAGAACAAGGCATGTTTACTTCCACGTACTATTTAAAATTCTCTGAAAATAATGCACACTTCAAAGCTTTATATTTTAAAACAAAACTACATCCATAAGCCTCTGTATGTCTTTTTAGTGTGCAAATCTTACTTCAGAATTATTAGACCAGTGTCAGACCGTACCTGTCATGTGCCTTTCTGGGCAAACACAAGCACGCCATGTATCACTCTCACAAGAGTGATTAAAGACAGAAGAGAACTTTATCCTTTAATTTCTCAGGGTGAGTCAGCTAGTTTTCAATTTAGCCTTTTGAACAGGAAAGCAGAGGCAATAGATACAGAAATAAGTAATTGAGAAAAGCAAACAATGTTCCTACTGGAAGGGCTAATCTTTTTTTTGTAAATCCTTTTATATGTTGCTATAATACCCTTTGCTGAAGTTCAGAGGCAGGCTTTTCTCCAAACTCCAATTTTCAATGGGACTCATGTTGCAAAAATGCAATAGAAAATTCAAACATATGGTATAGTATAGCTTTCCACAAAAAGCAGATGAAAAACAGTGCCATGCACAACCAATAATTAATTTAAAACATGACTTTTCATATAATCTTGGAAGCTTACATGTACACCAAAAAGCATGCAGAGTTGAAATACTGTGAATTTGCCACAAAAAATCCAAAATGCAGCAACAAAAACGCCTTTGGAAGGTACAGCGATATTATAACTATTGCCACACACATGATTACCAAAAGCACAGAAAAGGTTATCTCGGGTATGAATATTCCATAATCCCCTGCTGCCTTGTGACACTTCTGTAACAAGCCATAGGAGGACCCTGTTCAGTACTGAACAAGGGAGACTCCTGATATACTCTACTAAGGCAAGCCACGCTTCCACATAACTGTAAATAAAAATAAAGTCATAATACCCAGGCTTGCGCAGTAAGAAAAATTTTGAAGTCTTCATTAAAAGTTAAAGTTGGATGATCAGCAATACGGTTCAAAAATTTATGTAAAGCTTTTCTTCGAGTCTCAATGAATTCATCACTAAATCGTTCCACCATTCCTTTCATTATGAATTTTTCAGGCAATGGCTAAGGGAAAAAGAAAAAATATATTGTATAATTTGCATAACATTAAGGGTATTATAAATTTTTTTTTACTTACTAAAAACCATAGGTATACCTTGTAGAACCCACCATGCAAAAAACAAATTGTGATAAATTTATCACATTCAACAGTGGTATGACACGGGTCTTGTAGCACTCAGTGCAGAAGAATACCAGTTCAACTAAGAAAGAAGGATATAAGTTACTGCAAATGGCACAATTACAAATTTAAGAAGTACCTTTATGGGACTTTTAATTATCATGTATGTATAAAGCTAATGAAACTAGGTTGGTTTAACATCTTTGAGATTTCAGAAACTGAAGAAAGACCTCAAATATCTCTTTATAAAACTGAAGCCATCTTATAAACAAATAAAAATAACCTAAGTTTTAGCAAACGAACAGGAATAATCAGTGTTGGATGTGCTTCTTCAAGTTTGCTCTTCAACCAAAGGAAATCCTGATACCGTCTTCGAACTTCATATTCACTGGAGTCAAATTCACCACGAGATGTCTGAAAACCAGAGGCAGAAAAAACAGGTCCAGGTTAGAATACCAGGAAAAAAACCCAGTAAAATGGTTTTACATTTTGGAGAAAACTGACTACTTGAAGGGAATGCATACATGTTTCTATTTTGTCCGTGTTATTTGCCTGATGTTTTTTAAAGTTCAATGATCAACTACTTGAAGAGATAAAACACATCCCATTTTGACTTAGGATATGTGACTTCTAATTAGCCTTCCACAATGTTTCCGAAAGATTTCAATCGTTATTTTAGTGTGGCATTTTCCTGTTAGCAATTGCTGTTGTGTCCACTACTTTTAGGGCACTTCTTTTAAAGTGATTAGTAATCTGCGGGTGAGAAAAGTCCATTTTTAGCATTCTGAAAAAAAGACCAAATAGCTGACGTACGTCCTGGGGACCTGCTGACACAACAATCCCCATGTTCAAAAGATGAAAACTTCAGCATATCATAGCAATAGCACTTCCTGCGCTGCTTAATGGATTCTGTGTTCCATCATCAATTACAGTTTTGTAGCCCTTTGTTGGAACTTACCAACAAACGTTTAATGCCTAGAAAAAATGCTTACTGTAATGTTGCAAAATTGTCAGACCGTAAGATTCAATATATCACTGCTCTGTCTTCTAGAATCAAGCCTCAAAGAGCCCATGTTTCCATCCGAGTGTGCTGTTTAGCATTCCTTGTTGCACGGAGGTTTATAATGTGATGCAAGCAAATTCTAAAATCTCAAAACATGCTTTTGTAATCTAAACATTTTTGAAGGCTGAATAAAAATTTTTCAAGGTATGTGGGAGGAATGCTATTACTTTATCTTCAACAACCAGCACTTCAAATTAAATGTGATCAGAAAGTATAGAATAGATAAAAAAGCAGAAGTAATCCACCTTACTGCCCTTCCATACTTGCCTGAAGAAAAAAATGTTCTCTCATCTACAAAAATATGCATAAAGTGAAAATTATTGCTAGCAACCTAGCAAAGATAGCTCTCTCCCTACTCTTTAAATATTTTATGAGGAATTGATACTTTCTCTTATTTAAGGATGAGTAATTCCCATTTGAAAATTTGGTTTTAAATGAATCTTTTAAAAGTAACGCAAAGTAAAATAAATTAACAGTGCAATTCTCAAAATGTAGCCTGCAGAGTATTTGCTGGTAATCCCAGAAGAGCTGACTAGTCTCCCAAGGCTGACTTTTTCCTTATTTCCAGTAAATAATTTGTATTCAAGACAGCTAAAAATATACTTAGTTGTTTCCTAATATTACTTTTTCATTGGAGAATTTTGGCAGCTTCCCCAGAAATCATATGCAACTGTAAATTCAAAACAAATATCCATGTGATAGTGGACACTGTAATTACAAAACAATGGAATTGAAGGAGTTTGTAGCAGGTAACATTTATGTGAGACAAAAAAGACAGCTAGCTTGCAAGTGATCCAGAAGTCGTAAATACTTGGGCTAATATCATGCCTTTGAACTGAATCAGTCTTTCTGCTGTTCCACATTCC